CATCATGCCTGGCTGTATTAGTGTTTGCGTTAGTAATAGAATTATGATCGAAACAACTCAGGGGGGAAGAGTTCCTGTTGGCTGATGATTTCTCAGGGGTCAGCCCTGGTCACTTGGTCCTGTGGGACTGGACAGAGCATGTTAGTGGCAGGAACACGTGGATGGAGAGATGTTTCACTTGTTGGGCCACAGGGAAGGAGAGATCAAGACAGGATGTGGGTATGGATAGTATACCCCATGGACCCACTCCCAGTGACCTTTTCCTTCAGCTAGGCCTCACTTCCAAAGTTCCCCCAATCTCCCTTTTAAATTAGTGCCACAAGCTAAGGGACCAATATACAGAACACAAGCCTGTCAGGAACGTTTCAGATTTAAACCACAGCAGGAGCAAAAGAATTTGGAACTTGGATCATAAATAGTTCAGATCTATTAGTTCAGGAAGACACTGGACAAAAAGCAATAATAATAATAATAATAATAGAAGTCAATGTAATAATAAAATGACAAAAGGAATTGGTTGGGTGAAAAGGGCCTCTTTCTTCAAATTATAATGACGTAAGATGACAGCAAGGTGAGAATAAAATCCAAATCAGAATTTAGGTTTAACAACATAATCTTCGTTCTCTCCCTGTCCCAACCTTGACCCCACTATCCTTCATTTTTGTTTCTACTTTTCTGAGAAGGGCTCTGACTTAGAAGCAAAACACTCAGATGCCTAACCACCTGTCCCTCATCTGTGTCTCCATGTAGGTAATTACTCTTATTGAGCTCGTACTGTATACTGAGAATAAGAGAGTGAACAAAGCCTGTTTCCTATTCTCCGGAGCCTCCTGGTGTGCTGAAGACAGGTTTTCCAGTGTGGTCTGTGATCTAACAGAGTTAACAGCGAGGAGGAGTTAGGAAGCTGGGGCTCTATCAATAGGGGAGAACTGGGCAATGGCATTGACGTCTTTAATGTTTGGGTGCTTATAGACAAAGTCCTTGGCTCCAGAGAGTCCCAAGTGACCAGACTCAGTCACCCACCCTGTAAAGACAGACCAGGAGTAATAAAAGCGGAAGAGGAGCCTTCTCCAGTGGTCTCACTAGGAGTCACAGATCTGTAATTTGTCTTCAGATTATGTACAGCAGTCTCAGGGTTATATAGCAACAGAAAGGCAAGGATTGGGCTTTTCCAGGCCACCATTTGTTTGTGGTTTATGTGATCATTATCTTAGGCTATTACTCCAGGATGGGTCATGGAAAGGTCTATTTCCAACCCAGGTCTCTGCTGTTTATGGTGTACTTTGGTCCTTTGCCTTAAGATGTTAATAAGGCCTACTGTTCCTGGGATCTCAGTAGAGCTCAGAAAAAAAGGGTGGTTTTGTTAGCTGGTCAGAATCCTTTAGGTTTATGTCAGGGAGAGACATAAACCAATTTCAGCGTGGGAGAGGGATCTAGGGGATCTTTTTCTTCCATGTCCCTTTGTTTTCCTTGTCATTTTATCCTGCACAGTGTGACGGTGGATGCTCAGCTCTCTTGTTAAACACCTGCAGATTTAGAGGAAGAGAGGAAGACACCCCCCCCACACACACACACACAGTGTTGTGGGCCTCTGCACACATCACAAGGGAGATGGTTAGAAATCTTTTTTTTTTTTTAAAGATTTATTTGTTTATTATGTATACAGACGAGGGCGCCAGATCTCATTACAGATGGTTGTGAGCCACCATGTGGGTGCTGGGAATTGAACTCAGGACCTCTGGAAGAGCAGTCGGTGCTCTTAACCTCTGAGCCATCTCTCCAGCCTCTAGAAATCTTTTTTTAAAGCTCCTCAGATTTACTACTTCCTGGCAACAAGTTAAAGAATTTGAAAGCTTTAAAAATCTTAGAAAAATATTATTGTATATACTTAATGATTGAGCTTGCATTATATACCATGACACACTGATATAATAGCAGGAGATAACAAAAAGGATTACAACCGTGTGTTCTTGGAAATGACCCAGAACAATTTTTATGTATTCTGTGACATAATCTAAGAATTGGAAGTGTCAGGTACGTAGACTTGAGACCCGTTAGCAATTAGTAGTACCTTTCCTTGATTGTCCTAAGAAACATGCTTGGCTCAAAGATCTAGGAAGCACTACAGGGAATTAGACACATTTATAGGGAAGAAGAGTAAAAGAAAACTATTGTGTTTTGGTAGACATATCTTTTGTTTTGAGGGAATTTATAACATTTAAGAGATCTTTTTATTTATCTGTATCTCCAGGCCTAGCCTGGTGCCTGGTATGTAACTGATAGCAAGATTAAATATTTAAAGATGGATTTAATTGTGCCCAAGAGATGTATCAAAAGTAAGCCTGAAAGAGGACATAACTTGGTGTAGAACACTACCGAGCATGTGTGAGGCTCAGGGCTTAAACACCAGAAGTCTGTATTAGTTAGGTTCTTTGGAGAAACAGAACAAAGTAGTATGTGTATTTAGTTTAAGAAATTGGCGTGTATTTTGTGACTTGCAAGTCTAAAATTTATAGGACAGGACCCAGGCAGGAAACTTTAAGATAGGAGTTCAATTTTTGTTTGTTCTTTGTTTTTATGTTCTTCTGCCAGGGGTTGAACCCTAGACCTTGGTGAAAACTCAGTAGTAGGCCAACTCCTTACTGCTGAGCTGTACCTACAGCCTGGAGCTGCCTCCAGCCCTGCCTTGCCACCTCAGACCTGATTTTTCTTCAGGGAAACCTTCAACTTTGTTTTGAATGGCTTTCAGTTGACTGGTTGAGGCCTTCATAGATTATCAGATAGTCCTTAACTGACAAGAAGTGTTGACCAAATCTACAGAACACCTCCACAACAGTTCCAAGTGTTAGAGTCTAGCCAGGTCAACCCTGTGTATTTGGGTTAAGGAAGAACCTGAAGCAGATTTGCGGCGTGGTTGGCAAACCTACCACAGCTCGTGTCTTTCTAAGGCTTCCAGGACTGGTTTGTTACTAGAGCAAGATTTTCCACTACATACATTTATCCACATTATAGTTTAATGTGAGCAAAGAGCTTTTTATGTTACTAGGAGAAAGTGCAGGCAAGACTCACAACATTATTTTGAATAAAGCCAAAGTAGTATTTAAAAGATTATTCCCAAGAAATCATTATGTAGAAGAGCTTTGAGTTTGGAGAAATTTCATTCATTACACTGAGGAGTGGAATACAACTCACTTAGGGGGAGCCTAAGGGTTGTTTCCTGTGTTTGACTTTTGATTTTTGTTACATTGTTTTGCCCCCCCCCCCCACTTATTCATTAGTATTATTGTAGAATTCAAAACTTGCCTTTGATTTAAAAGAAATTAAGTGGCTTAAAAGCAGATCATAGAACTGGGCCCTAGCTTTTCCTCTCCTCGAGATGGAGGGGAGGGGGGGCGCATGCGCGCACTGTGGAAGTGAAACCGTATTGCCAAAGGCTGAGTAGGTTAATGTGGATTAGCCAGTTTAGACTTGAAATTGATGCAGCTTGAATCTTTCAGGTGAGATAGTTGTAAATGTTCTCTTCCAAATGTCATTTTACGGTCCGACGTTTTGTGTGTGTCAATATAAACACTCTCCCCTCTTTTTTAGTTTTGGGATGGTAGGGATGGAACCCAGGGCTACCATAGTAACACAGGCTACTCTGCTTCCTGCCCCTGAGCTGCACTCAGCACAGGCCCCTCTTTCCTTCCTTCCTGAGGAGCACTCCTGTAACTTACTGGGGAGCACTCCTATAATTTCCGACTCTCCCCAAATCTTGCTGCTGTGTCAGCAGCCTTTGTGAGTCCCTCTCCACGTTTTCCCGTTTACTTGATGTTGAAATTCAGAGGGCTTTCTTTGTGGAAATTGAACCAAATAATAAGACAGTATAAAACACTGAGTTCAGCAAAAGTGATTTGCTTGCGATTAACCCTTGAGAGTTGCGTCCCTGCCAGATAACAAAGAACGGTTTTGCTTAATCCTGTTCATTCTTCTTTTCCCTCCCTCTCAACCAAGTGTTAATGAATTCCTGTACAATGTTGTCTTATTTATTCATCCTGGTTTTTGCAAGTAAGCCCAAAGAGAGCTCATCAGATTTCCTACTGGAAAGCTCTTAATCTGACCCCTCAGCGAAATGCATTTCATTTTTGTAGTTGTTCAAGACAGCAACTTTGACATTCTAGATTTTTCTCTCATAGACTACATACAGTACCAGAAAATCTTTTTACCTTCAAAATACAGAAATCTAGAAGTTTACCATTTTCATCACTAATCACCCATTATTTTTTCTTGGATTATTTGAAAATACTAATTCATTTCTGTGCCTCTGTTTTTGACCCTGTTAGCTTTTGTTGTTGTTTTTTCAGCATGACAACTAGAGATCCTTAGAATTCTCTGAGACTGTCAGGCCTCTGTTGGAAACAGTGGTGGCTCTGTCACTCACAGCAAAGCTGAAGTCCTGATGGTCCCTGTGAGGCCCTCCATGGGGTGTCCAGCCTGTGGGCTATGTGCAGCCTGGCCCAACACAAAATTATAAACTTACTTCAATTGTAAGGTTTGGGGGTTTTGTTTTTGTTTTTGTTGTTTGTTGTTTTGTAACTTGATTACATGGTGCTTGAATGTGAACTTTGCTAACACTATCATGTCACAATGTCAAAAGGTTGGAACATGTGCATGACACTTGACCTCTCTAACTTGACTCATTCGTTTGTCCTGTGCCTGCTGGTTGGCCTGTTTGCTCCTCACCAGTCCCTGCCTCCTTCAGCAGGAGGATCTCTGAGTTCAAGGCCAGTCTACAGAGCAAGTTCCAGGACAGCTGGGACTACACATAGAGAAACCCTGTCTCGAAAAACCAAAGGAAAAAAGAAAAGAAAGAAAATTAGCCAATAAAGCAAGCAGCATATAGAAAGCAAGCAGCCTATATAATCTCAGAAAATGTATTTGATGTAATTATCATTGTCATTAAGGTGATTTACTTTCATAGACTGGTGTGCACAACTATAAATGATGTTTTCCCTCTGCAGGGAAGGAGGCTGATAGCTGTAGGACTTGGTGTTGCAGCTGTTGCCTTTGCAGGTACGTTGTTCTGGTGTTTAGACATAAGGCATTCCCACTTGCCCACCAATAACAGTTACTTAGCAGTGATCAGTTAAGCAAAATATAGATAAGAAATTTCTTATAGTAAAGAAAATAATTGGTCAGTGAGCTAAGACAGCTGGCTGCATAATGGTTGATGTTCTTGCCATGCTCTTTCCAGTTTTATTTATAGTGCCCAATGGTAAGAAATTTATAGCATGGGCTGATAAGATGGCTCAGTAGCTAAAGCACTTGCTACGGAAGCCTGAAGATCCAAGTTCAGACAGCCCAAACACATGCAGAGGTGTGACACAGTAGCTCATGTAATCCCGGTGCACAGTGGAAGGCTGAGACGAGAGGAACCCTGGAAAGTCCTGGACCAGCTAGCTTGGCGTGTACAACAGTTAACAATAGGAGACTCTATCTCGAACCTGGTCAAAACTGAGGCCCAACGTCCTAGTTATCCTCTGACTGTGTTGTGCCCACTGTGGTACACAATAAATAAAGAGAGCCTGCTGGAGAGATGGCTCAGCAGTTCAGAGCACTTGATGTTCTTCCAGAGGACCAGAGTTCAGTTCCTAGCACCCACATCAGGCATTTCACAGCTGCCTCTAACGCCACCTCCAGATGAGTCAACTCTTTGTTTGGCTTTTGCGGACACCTGCCCACAAATACACATGCATACACCTAAATAAATAATAAAGTAAATCTTAAAAAGACACACATGCACACACACACACACACACACACACACACACACACACACACACACACACACAAAAGCCTGGACGGGATAAGTAGATGGCAGATGACAACTTTAGGGAGTCAGTTCTCTTTCCACCACAGAGGTTCCCAGGATGGAAGTCAGGCTTGAACAACAAGTACTTTTACTTGAAATTGTGAAAATGTAAATTCGAATCACTGTTTTAATACTTTGAATTCCAATAGTAATTGTAGTTGGTAAAATATCAACTTGAAAATAATTTCCAAACTCTTTTGAGGTACCTTGGAGATAGGAGTGATGCAAAGTTTTATTGATGAGAAATCACTGGAATCTGGCAATTTCTAAATGAGAGTAACCCTTTAAACAACCAAAAAATAAATAAATAAATAAAATAAGATTTTAGAGAAAATAAAGACTGGAAGTAAGAAAAACAGATAATGAAATCTTTAAGAGCTTCACATGTGGTTGCTTTCTTGCTCTGCGGATTACTCTACTAAATGCAGTCCTGTATCATGTGTCTGAGGTGTTTGTTTTCTATGTATTTCAGTGTGATTATCATTGTAAATGGCAATATAATTACTCATATAGTATCATAAGTGACTATTATAAACAGTGTCTTGTTTTAGTCACTTTATTGTGGAAAGAGTATTAAGGTGTTACTGTATTCTGTAACATTGTATAAGTGTACAATATACATATAAACATTGAAAATTTCTGATTTTATTATCATGAACTAAAACTTGGTACATATGTGTTGGCTATGATAATATTAAAATCAAAGTCTATTTAGTAAATTAGAAGTTTGAAAAATTGGTCTTTTTAATAAAATTTGAAATAGCATTTATATCAATAAATGATGTATGATAAGCACTTTAAAAGTAATGATGGACATTGATTATGAGAAATATATTAGTATTTGTTCTATTTACTGTTTAGGTCGCTATGCATTTCAAATCTGGAAACCTCTAGAACAAGTAATCACAGAAACAGCAAAGAAGATTTCATCACCCGTAAGTTAAGTGGGGCTGTAATTAGAAAGCACTTTTAATGGTTGTTTGTTGTACTTGAAAGCAACTCAGAGCATGTCTTAGGCTTCCCACCTAGAAGTCAGGAAGAAGTAGAAGTTCACCTTCTCACATCATTTATGAGTCTGTCTAGTCTATGGATTTAGTTTAAGTTTCTTAGTCGAATGATTTTTATGCATAAACTTCTATTTCTGGTTTTGACAATTGCTAGGTAACTTACTGTTTGTTTTCTTGTTTTGAAGCAGGGTATAGGCAGACTTTTCTTTACCACCATCCATGCCCCAAATAACCATACTGAGACTTAATATTAATTATAAATACTCAGTCAACAGCTTAGGCTTGTTTTTAACTAGCTCTTATAACTTAAATTAACCCATCTCTATAAATCTATGTGCTGCCTTGAGGCTTGTTTATCTCATGTGCATTCTTCCCATGTTGCTCGCCCTGAGTCTCATGGTGTCTCCTCATGATGCCTCATACTACACTCTTCCTCCCAGTGTTTTCTCTGCTCCAAAAAACCTGCCTAGGCATTGGCCAGTCAGCTCTTAATAACCAATGAAAGTAATACATTCATATTGAACAAAAGGATTATTCCACAGCACTTCCCCCTTTTTGTCTAATTGAAAAGGAAGATTTTAACTTTAACATAGTAAAATTATATACAACAATTATCAAGTAAGAATTACAGTTACCATATCCAGTCCATTTGTATTTGGCAAATTTAGAGAAAATATTCTATTATGTCTTATTTGTTAGTCTAAAGTTTTATACCTAATTTACCTTTTATTATAACTAAGGAAAACTTAGTTATAATAAAAGTCTAATTATTTAGTCTTTAACTCCATCAAAGACCCCAGAAGGGTGTAATTTTTCCAAGGACAGGGACATCTGGCTACCTGGACGGTCACTCAAAGTTCTTCTGTAATGTTGGGGCATCCAGCTTTGGCCTACAGGCCTAGTATATCTGACAGACATTTTTGAGAAGCAGGAAATTTTGAAGGACTGTCTTGCCTTGTCTTGGAAAAGTTTGGCAGATGCTTTTTTTTTTTTTTTCTTTCTCATTCTAATGGTCTGGTTTGAATAGAATAGTATACTGTCAGCAGTTGAGGCAAGGGCAGTTGTTGTTTTTGTTGTTTTATTTTTTTCCCAAGTGGCTAGCTTTTGCCATAAAGAAAGCAAACTCCATACGGAGGTTCTTTGATGCCCATCATCTGCTTTTGAAGTAAATTGGTGCTGTCAGGAGCAGATGTGTCTGTCATGAAAAACCTCAGGTTATTAAACATATTAAATGCTGTATTCTGTAGGTCCTTGAAATGTTTGAAGACCATCAATCTATCGAAATATATCTGCTTAACCTTGAAAACATACTTAATATGACTACAAGTTTGATTATTGTAGATGACTATTAACTTGTATTTCTTAATTATACATTTTTAAATGAATTGCAGAAGTACAATACCCCAAACAAGAGTAGAAACATACATATAGTATAGCAAAAATAACTTTAAATTTGTATTACTAAACCAAAATCTATACCAATGTAAAATATTTTGAGATTATAGTTGGGTTTTTTGGGTTAAAGTAGATTCAATAATCTACACTCATCCTATCATTCCTGTATCATATCCCCCTTTTTTCTTTAGAAAGAGATCTTTGAATTTAATTCTTTTGTTTAGTTTTTTTTTTCTGACTATGACCAATCACAGTTTGTAACCAACTCCCCTAAATAATGACAAACATTCATAATCCATTGAATAACCAAAACTCACCCATACCCCATCTCTTGGGAATCTGGGCATTGCTTTCTAGACTACTTCCTGTTGTTTGTGGGCATTGATATCTTTGGGTTACCTTGAGAAAATCAGGATAATTGTTAAGTCTTGACTGGAGTAGTTTGTAAGGTTGGATCATCTCAGCCAGCAGACTTGAAACTGTTCTGGATGCAGAACTCTGAGGAAACTGCAACATAGGTTCTCTGAGATGTTGGATCATCTGAACCATCCATTTTTATTAGTGCCTGGTTTCTTTGTTCTGAAAATATATAAACTTTTAAAGGAAACATATATGTCTATATTAATACAAGCATAGATTGTTGACATGGGACCTGTGAGAGACCCCTCAGGGTGTTTCCAGCTTGCAAAGGCAAGGGATCACTTTGTCCCTTGTTGACCTACATTCCTTAGTCCAGTGTCTGCCTTTGCCACACCTTCTGCATAATCAAGAAGGGAGGGGCATTCTGTTAGGATTATTTCTTGAAAAAACATTGTTTCTAGGAACGCTCTGTTTACAGTCCTTTTTTCAGTGAACTTTTTTACCGAAATTGAAACATTTGACATTATTATTTTTCTTCAAACTCTGTAAATCACCTCTCCTCATCATGATGAAAATCAATATTGATTGCATCTCGGATTCATTCCTCCAAGGGTGCTGATCTTGCCTTTAATGGCCTAATTACCCTTTTGCATTGGGCATTAGCATTTTCAAAAGCCAGAGATTCAATTATTATTTGTCTAGCTTCTGAATTGGGTATCATTCTCTTTTCTGCTGAAGTCAATCTTGGTACGAAATCAGTAAAGGTTTCTTTTGGGCCCTGTGTTACTTTAGTAAATGACTCAGTTTTCTTTCCTACTTCTTCAATTCTGTCCCAAGCATTCAAAGCTGCTGTGTGCCATTAAGCCAGGGTGTGGTTATCATATAAAGATTGTCTTTGTGTGTCATCATAATTGCCCTCTCCAAGAAGTTGATCTTGGGACATTTCCATACCTCTAACCTTGCTTCGTTTTTTAATGGTCTTAGCCTCATCCTTCTACCAGGTCAGTCATTGTAATTGGGGACCAGCCTCTAAGACTGATGTAACCAAATCTCTCCAGTCTTGAGGGATAATTCTATTACAAGCTGACCATGAGTTTAACACATGCTTCACAAACGGGGGTGCATGTTTACTTGGAAGCGTGTGGCTGCGGGACTGGGTGGGACACAGGAAAACTTCCATCTACAGATTGTGTTTTGTACACAAGTTAGCCAAAAATGATTTTTTTGTTGTTGTTGTTTCATGACTGAGCAGGTAAAATATATATTATGTGTCTTGTAGTTTTTCTAGGTTTATTTCTTTATGTCTGTAGCCAGGATTTTCAGGGGATCTTCCCTGATCAAACCTGGTCCATATCAACCTGAAATGAATACACAGCCTCTCATTTCCTATGGAAATAAAAGCATAACATCTTCCCCAAAGTAACATATTTTTTAATTTCCATTTTGAAGTCAAGACATTTTAAAAAATATATTTGTTGATTTAATCCAGCAGTTTTCATAATCCATTGTGTCTTAGCAGCTGTCGTTCCTTCATTAGCAACCAGGAAATGCAAAGACAACACAATAACATACAGGATCCAGACTCTCTGTGTGTTTCCCATCTTTATGTGGTATTGCTTTTTTTTTTTTTTCACTCCTTTTTAAAGGACTTGACATTATTATTTTTAAACGTTTTTTTTTTTTTAAATTTTATCTATGACTGTATATACCTTTTCTCTCTCCCAAGCCTATGTATATTTTTAAACACACTGACCCATTTAGAGGTATTTTTTCTTCTGGATCTGTTTTTACTGAGCACTTGTATTGTTTTTTGATTGCATGAGACAAATCTTAAACTGCTGTGTCAGCTAATGGCACTGTCCAACTTAGTGTATGACAGTAAAGCTTGGTGGTTGGTAGATAGCTTTATCCCGCAGGCAGCTGCCAGGAGATGCGTCTCTATACTGTGTTTGGCTCTTGTTTTGTGTGTTTAGAACCTTTTTTAAGCTTTCTTTGGTTTTATGTGGTTGTAGGTGCTGGATGTTTGGCACCAGCAGGGTCTTGTGTATCCCAGGCTGGCCTGAGCCCTTTGCTCTTCCTGCTCCATCTATCGAGTGGTTATAGACATGCACCACCATACCTAGCCTCTTTGGGTTTTTGTTTTATGAGATAGCATCTCACTATTTAGCCAATGTTGACTTTGAACTCTCTTGGTCCTCCAGCCCCATATAGCAAGTATCAAGTTACCACATCTGTCTTATTTTTCCCTTTTAACTACTTATTATTTACTCATTAACCATTTAGTGAGTGCCCACCATTTACCAATCCCTGTACTGGGAAATGAAAACAACAATTGAGTAAAACAGACAAAGCCTCTGCCTTACTAGAGCTTATGCACAGTGTATTTCAGCTTGAAATTTGAAGCTCGTTCCTTATATCACTGCACCTGACCATCTCAAACATAACTTTGCAAAACTCCACCCAAAATCTTATAGGACTATATGTTGTGGAATATTATTTTAAGATGAGTTATATTCATTTATGCTGTGGAATATTTGTTTAATGATGCAAAGATGTGTTGCATTCTTTTATGTTGCATTTGTTTAGCTCTGTAAAGCTGTGTTACTTTGTGTGCCTAAAACACCTGATGATCTACTAAAGAGCTGAATGGCCAATAGCAAGGCAAGAGAGGGATAGGCAGGGCTGGCAGGCAGGGAGAATAAATAGAATGAGAAGAGAGGAAGGAGTGAGAAAAGAAGAAGTGAGGAGAAGGAGAGGAGGATGCCAGGGGCCAGCCACACAGCCACACCCAGACATAGAGTAAGAAGTAAAAAAAGGTATATAGAACAGAGAAAGGTAAAAGCCCAGAGGCAAAAGGTAGACAGGATAATTTAAGTTAAATGCTGGCTAGAAACAAGCCAAGCTAATGCTGGGTGTTGTAGAATATTATTTTAAGGTGTGGTACTTGCATTTGTTTGACTCTGTGAAGCTGTGTTACTGTGCCTGTCTAAAACACCTGATGGTCTAATAAAGAGCTGAACAGCCAATGACAAGGCAGGAGAGAGGATAGGCAGGGCTGGCAGGCAGAGAGAATATATAGAAGGAGAACTCTGAGAGGAGAGAAGAGGGAGCAAGAGCAGGAGGAGGATGCCAGGGGCCAGCCACCCAGCTACACAACCAGCAGTGGAGTAAGA